AAAATCTAATCTATTAGCTAGCCTAGCTAGACCCGGGCAGCAGCATCAGGAAGTGTCCTCCAGACTGTCAACGTCAACCAGTACGTGGCATTCAATGTGCGCAGCCGCAGACCGACTGGAACAAAGTGCGTTGAGAGCCTTCACAGAATTTCAGCCATCACCTTGAGCAGCGTTTATTTATTTACCTTTTGAACACCGGATAGCTAAGCACGCACAGAGTCTGCAGTAAAGCGAAGCTGGTGTTCTCGTGCTGCAACAGAATATCTTAAAAACAGCAGTGCATGCAGATACTGTGAACGCGCCCATTACAAAAACCAAACAAGAAAATATCATAAGAGGTAGACTTAACATACTGAACAAATAAACACATGGCAAAGCATATTGTTTAACAGTTTGTAAGTGTGTGTGTGTGTGTGTATGAATAATTGCTTCAATACTGTAAGTATGAACATTACATTTTCTTTAAATCATAGGAAGACTTTTTTTTTTTGAGAGAGACACCAACATTATTCTTTTTTCTTTGATTGGAGAAGGGCTGAAGTCACAGTGACTGGACTCCATTTTTATCGCTGGTGCTTTGGATCCCAATCCCAACCTAACTGTGTGTGCAAGAAATCAATCTGCTGCTTTAAATAAATAAGTTTATTGAAATGAACAATCATTAGCTTTAAATGAAAATCAGGGATGCAGGATGAATCATATTACATAATCATGAAGACTAAGGAGACATAACTCATGTATTTAAAAAAAAACACAAGTTTTGTCCATTCACAGCTTTAAAAAAACTCCATTATTTGTTTTTCTTCTCCTGAGTAGCATCAAACCATGAATCCAGCAGTTTTTTCATGTAGTACAACTGCCAGCCGTGCACTTGAGCAGCAACCACTATAGCGACATATGCAGCAGTCACTGCAGAGCAGCCAAAAATGAAGCGGAAGGCTTTTCCTTGACGGAAGAGCTGCTTTGCTACAGGAAACATCTCCATGCCACCATATATAAGAGGTGCAAAAGAGAACAGCCCTGCACTGATCATTGACAGGACCAGGTAGCTGATGTTGTTCTTTGGGAGGGACAGGCTGCTGAAGAGCAGAGGGAAGATGCTGAGCAGATAGGGGTACTCCCACTGGTACGGCATGGACACAGTGTCCTGTGACACAATGTTGAAGTGGCTGACGGTCACTTGCGCCGCCACCAGCAGCCAGATGAGAAAGTGGACCACGTTTAACTTCCGTATCTCTGACTTCAAGGAAGCGCTGCAAAAGAGAAAAACAGACCATCAGACTGCAACTCAGAGACAATGTTCATATTTATTGACAAATGCCAAAAATAGATACTTGCTTCATCTGGTACTGTGGGGCCATCCTTAGTTTGTTTTTCATGTTTGGAGAAACCTGTTAATGCACAAGACAAATAATGTAACATGCAAATGACAGCAACCAAAAGCAGACACTCCTAAAAAATGGTGATTTCATCAAATTTCATTGGAATATTTAAAATCCGGAAGACAATCAGGGTATTAAAATGAATTTAATATTTAAAGCTGCAAAAGGACAGTTTTTTACATTCGAAAGCTGGAGCTAACTGGTCAACCAGGCAATGTGACAGATTTAACCTGCCAATGTCCCAGTGTGCGAATAATCAGCCTGGTAAATGCAAGGACACCGCGAGGAGAAAGATAATAGAGGATACAGATTCAGCGATAGTCACAATAAACGTCACCGTTTCCCAGCTCTCACAACATGATGCAAACAGCGATTCAAACAGAAAACGGCCGTTTTCGCGCAGACTAGTCGGGCTGGGATTTGAAGCATTAGCTGCTACTGGCTAACCTAGTTTAGCGTTTACTTTGGACAGATACGTTTTGTACGTTAGTCTAGCATTTTTATTTATTTATTTGTTATCACAGGTAACGATAGTAGCAGAGTGAACTTAGCTTACCGATGATGCTTACACCTGACTTCTTCAACGTTTGGCCGAGCCCCTTGTTTAAATTTCTATCCAAAGGAGATGTGCTGAGTGAACATCAACGACAGCTTTAAGCATGCGCACTGACGACCGACAGCCTTCGGCAGCATCAGCATCTTCTTTTCACGTCACAATCAATAGTTCTGTTATCTGATACTCTTTATTTGGTAGTATTGGTTAAGTTAATTAAGTTGATTAAGCATGATTGTCGCACTCTACAGCGCTAAAATACCAATTTATAATGTTTTTCTGCAAAAACGAAAAAGATGCTGACTTTAAGAGATTTGATTACATGCAAAAATTTCAGATAATTTTGTTACATAAGTACAATTGAAAACGTAAAATTGAATGGAAATTGGTCAAATGAAGTGTACTTGATTAGTATACGTTCATTTAATTCATTTTAAGCATATAATGATTGATTATCTAAATACAAATTATCTCATATAAATGTAAATATTTACAGACTGGAAACCTGTCTAGAGCGTAACCTGTCTCTGCGTTTTTTTTGGTGTTTGTTTTATTGTTTTTAAGTCACACTATTAGATCGAAATTCAGTGCTACAAAGCATAATTAATATCGATGTTGATTTTCAGGCAACAGTTCTTGATGAATACACTTTAGGCATCCTGATATATGCATGGCTACATTTAGTAAATTATATTGATACGATGTAAAGTTTATTAAACAATGAGGGTCAAGTGGGTCAAATATGTTAAGCCTATAAAACCAGATCTCATGGAGGTGGTAAGTAAATGGCAGTGTGATTTTTTTTTTTACTCATATTTCTCTTCAAACTTTGATCTCTTCCAAAAAAAATACACATTTTCAGGATAGACAAAGGATATGACACTCTTGTTGTTCATTTGTCCTTTTAAACTGCTTTCTGAAAACAAAGAATTAAGAAATGTTTCACCACATATGTTGTCTTAGGTTAATGAATAAATACTGCTACTATGGCTAGTGCTTACTGCTATTCACCTGCTTTGCATAATGGAATATTATCAAGTTGTTGGATTTAACATTATTTAACAGGAGTTTAATGAGATATGTGTGACAATCCTATCAATTTTTTTTTATAAAGGAGTCTTCCAGTGCTTTCTTATTGTTTGCTCTTTAAATGTGCCATAACAGCTTTAGTCAAATGGGTTTCAGTGAAGCTCAAGATGATATCTGTGGCAATTCTTTTAATCAAACCATTTTTATTTAGAAAAACATCACAGACAATAACAACAAACTTGAAACATTGATACACATAATTTGATTACAATGACAATATTGGCACCAAAGTCATTATCATTTCCCGTGTTTGTTTGTTTTTTTTTTTTGCTGTTTATTGCATGCAAGTCATCAGCAGTAAAAATTACAACAACAACAACAATAACAATAAATTAATGACATAACTGTTGTTAATCAATTGCCGCAGCATTCAACACTTGCTTTAAGTCCATTAATGAATACAGAAAAACACGTAAAGGAAACACACTGCAGATACAAGAAACTTAATTTGGTCATCGCTCTTTTAAACATCTATAAACTGTTTTCCACATATTATGCCATCTTATTTGTAATTATACTCATAACAACTATAATGCACTGTGATATGCTTCTGTGGAAAAAATAATAATATGGCCTGCAAAACAGTCAAAGAATATAATCAGTTCATTTTTATGTAAAAGCAGTAAATAAAAATATTAACGGGTAACACTGGTTTTGACTTTAAAGGAGGACTCGGCGACTTGCAGTTCGGAGACTTGTTACCTATCAATGGGATTGGCTGTGGAATATTGTTTTGCACTATAAACCATCTGTAAACATGCAACTTTGTGTTTGTTTTCACGTAACACTGACATATAATTCAACTGTTTAGTTGGTGATAAAGAATTTTTGTTAAGTGTAAAATGTTAGGATGATAATGTACCAATATTTATTAGAGTATACTGAGTGGTTTTAATAGATCAGAGCAAAACTGTGTCCTATTTCCAATTCTAATACAGCACAATAACCACAAACCTACCTCAGAAAAATAAAACATAAAACTTATGATACATTCTTAAAATTTAAACCTCACTCAAGACCAATAATCAGCCAGCAACACACTCAGGTTATTGACTTAATTTTGACAATCTATGTGTTGTGTAGCGTCTTTCTAAAGAAGAGTACACTAACTGCTGTTTCAGCTCACCAACCAGTACCAGTTGTCCCTTATACATACAATTCCTTCACTCAAGTCTTGTTCTTAACAGAACATTAGACTTAAAATGATCTTTACCCCCAGGTTTAGTCCTCTGCAACCCAATGTAGATACCAACACAAATAGAAATATATTTATCTAAAAAATAAACAAACAAAAATAAAACATGGCAATGTGCGGACTGCTGTAATGCAAACTTCATTGCTCCAATCTGAACTCTCATTTGAAAGAGATTTTTTTTCATACTTATTGTTATCACTAGAGAAAAGTCATTGATTATACAAATATATGCATGCAAAAAAATATATTTCCTGTTGAAATGAATGCTATCTTACTATTTTATACTTTCACATTATATGTTGCCACATGGGGTAGCTGCCAATTTTAAAGACATACAGGGACCAAATTTGACACAGCTGCAACAGTGTGACTATCATTATACCATCTCTTTTTACCCTCATTTACTTATACTTCCCTTCTATGTTTATACTAATAACTTCCACTTTTAAAATATGCGCATGAAAGTACCTTTGTAGCCATTTCTAAATTCTGTTTTTTTCTTCTTCTTTTTTTACATTCTTTTATACCATCCAGTGCTGTAAAAGAAAGATTTTTGCTCTCCCAATTAAACCATCTCTTTGGCTTCGTACAGATTTAATTTGCTAGATTTAATATCTTCTTTAAAATATTTTATCTTGTCTTGTCTGTTGACTACACTATTTGCTTGCTGACTTTGCATTAAAAGTACGCTTAGTGTAAGGTAATCTGTGTTTTCTGTCATACAAAAATATGCTCTTGTGTTCTTCTTACCAAAGCCTCTCTCTCTCTGCAGTTTGTGGTTTTACATTGGATATAACAAGTACCCAGTGAAGGAGGAATGCACGTACTGTCCAGCATAAAGTCCTGAAGCCTGATCTGAGGGCAGCTGAATATACACAGTGTCCCCTAGCTGTAGAGGTAATACTGCACTCCCTGATGCTTGGTCTAGGAAACCCTTTTTGTATTCATCATATGTATACATTACAGGCTCATTGTTTCTCATTAAAGCGACCCAAACATTAGTTCCTTTGCAATGAATGTGGTAGGCAAAGTAATAAATACCAGGTACTTCACAAGTGAAAATTCCTGTCTGGGGGTTATAGTTTTGGCGACCATTGTACAAAAGCTTGTCAAAGATGACTGGAGTGCCGACAGGTGGAAATGGAGTCATTGCTGTAGCTGTGAATGCTGGCATTTCAAGCCCACTGGGACCCATTACTTCTGCCCCATTGCCTCCATACTTGCCCTTCTTGCCATAACTTCCAGCTTTAACACCGTCTAGTCTTGGGCCCATCTCAGAAAGCACTCCTGCCATTTCAGGTGACACACTAGGTATTCCAGGTGGACCTGGTGGTCCAGGAGGGCCAGGCAGACCTCGTTGCCCAGGGAGTCCCGATGGGCCTTCTTTTCCTGGGGGTCCTATGGGACCAGGTAGACCTGGACCTCCTTCAACTGCAATGCCTGGTGGACCAGGAGGACCATAATCTCCTTTTGGTCCTTGAAGACCAGGGGGCCCAATTGGTCCTGCTGCACCATCCATTCCTGGGATTCCTTTAGGGCCTTGGGGCCCCACTTCACCTGGTTCACCTCTTTCTCCTTTGGGACCAGGAGGTCCCGAAGAACCAGGAACACCAGGTAGACCTTCAGGTCCAATGTCTCCTTTGGCACCAATTGGTCCTGGTGGGCCTCTTGGTCCTGGCTCTCCCTGGTCTCCTGGCAGGCCATCCTTTCCAGGTAACCCTTGAGGACCAGGCTCACCCTGGGCTCCATCAAAACCTTTAGATCCTTCTTCTCCACAATCTCCTTTAGGACCAGGTGCACCCATAGGCCCCGGGGGTCCACTAGGGCCTGGATGACCTTCAGGACCTTTTGGTCCAGAAGGTCCAGGCGTACCAGGTAGACCGCTGTAACCCTTATCTCCCTTTGGTCCAGGTGATCCAGGTGGCCCACTCATACCTTTATCACCCTTTGGTCCTGGGAGTCCCGGTTTACCAAATCCTGGCAATCCTGGCTTTCCTGGCAAACCTGGTGGTCCTGGAAGACCTTTCACACCTGGCATGCCTGGTTGTCCTGGTAGACCATTTTGACCTGGCTTCCCTTGACCAGGTAGACCTGCTGGGCCAGGCTGTCCTTTTTCACCTGGTGGTCCAGCTGGCCCTTGATGTCCTGGATGTCCCTTTTCCCCTGGTGGTCCCTGTGGTCCTGGTGTGCCATTCAATCCAGGTTTACCAAAACCAGGCAATCCTCTTGGACCAGCAGGCCCAGGGAGCCCTGGAAGCCCTTTGTGTCCAGGTGGTCCTGGCAACCCCATCCCTTTGTCTCCTTTGGGTCCCGGCAGTCCTGGTAAACCTGGAAGACCTTTGTGACCTGGCTCACCTTTGGGCCCCATTTGACCTGGTAAACCTTGAACACCTGGTTTACCTATTCCTGGAAGTCCAGGTGGTCCTGGGGGTCCTTGAGGCCCTCGCTGTCCAGGTGGTCCTTCTTCACCCCTAGGGCCCATTTCTCCTTGAGGGCCAACAATACCAGTTCCTCCAGGTTTTCCAGGAAGCCCAGGAAAACCTGGTTTCCCAACTCCTGGAATTCCCGGTGGACCAGGAGGTCCAGGCCGTCCTGCAGGTCCTGGCAACCCATTCCCTGGAGGCCCAAGAGGTCCTGAAGGTCCCTCTGGTCCAGGTGGCCCAGGTGGCCCAGCAGGGCCTGGCTCTCCTTGGGGAATTCCCTCAGCACCACTAGGAATTGTCTGGCCTGTGAGAAATTAATACATTATTCACACAGAAATAATAAATCTAAAAATTCACAGAGACATATCGTTTATAAAGTTTTAAAATGACACATACAAATGAATATTTGTTTCAATTTCTTTAGTTTAATATAAAAACGGCAATGATGACAGGTTGGCAGATATAAAATAGTATTTTTGCAGCAACAAGTTGATTCCCAAAGGCTTGAAAACTTGGTGTGGTGTGCAGTGTGTCCCTTAAAGTTTTGAGGAAACCGGAAAAGTGAAGGACAAAAAGGTAAAAAGGTCTGATATCATCTTGAAAGAGAACAGATCAAAAGGAAGCCAACATATACAGAAGAGCTTTAAATGTCCTTCAAGAATCCTGGAGAACTATTCCTGCAGATTACGTAGAGAAATTACAAGAAATCTGTTTTTAGAGAGTTGAGGCTGTGTTGAAAAATAAAGGAGGCCAAATACTGACTTCCACCCTCTTTATAAATGTACAAACTCTGTTTTTGCCTTATATAGTGTATTTCGATTCATGATTGTACATGCTTCAATAAACTGCTGCATCTATTTCCATTTTCATAGCAAAATGTAAAGAAATGAGGGGTGACTCAAGACCTTTTCATAGTACCGTGTAACTAAGTACTTATATTATAAACTTAAGAGACATCTGTTTACTGGTCATTCTTTAGCTCGATAGTAGAGGTTCAAAATCCACATGTATGTATTGCTAAAGTTGGTGGTATAGGTCTTTAAAACTGTTTTCTTACCTTTGTCTTTGCCACCATTGTAGCTTCCCCCCTTATGAGCATTTTCCTTTCCCTTGTGCATGGGCATTGGTGGGAGCTCCTTGCTGTAATGGGGATACTGCATATAGGGCATGTCTTTGCCTAGGTACTGCTGCTGAGGAAAGCCACCTTTGCCCATGCCAATATGTTGGATATGCTGCATCGGTTGGTATGGCTGAGGATGCTGCTTGTGACCGTAGTATGCTCCTCCACTCACAAAGGTAAGAACTACAAGCTGTAGCAGGAAGAGGGGGGCAAGGAGGGGAGGCATGGCCAAGGCCTGTATGGTGGATAGAGAAGACAAGATTTGATGAAGCTCCAGATGTTTTTACAAGTTTTTTATTTTTAATTTTTATGGTATGCAGATAAGTATTTCTTGCAATATCATGAAGCTCAAGTGGGTAGCTCTATCTGCAAAGTGGAGGCAGTGTACAACCACACTCTGTCTCCCTCTGCTGGATATACGAAGGGACAATAGACTTGCCCCTGATGTGAGTCTCAGTACCTTAGATATAACATTGTTACTGGTGTACAAAAAGTTTGAGTTTTTAATTTGTTTTCAGGATGATCTCGATAAGTAGAAAGACAATAGATTAAGGAAGTGAGCTTGGCAAAAAGCTAGGCTATTTTATTCCTTTTGCAGCTCAGCAGTTAGCAGCCAAGCCTAACATTAAAAAAGTGATTAGGTTTGACAATTTTACTTAGGATATTCTAGAAAAGCACAATCATTATTATGACCCTCTAGAAACATTTTTTTCATTAAACAAAAATTGATAAATGCCTTCAATGTCCTAATATTACAATTGATCTTCAAATCTCTCATTTTTACCCTCCTAGAAGAAATCTTTTACATTAGCAAACACGTTTTATGAAGAAAAAAGCACAAATTAAATATAACAATCAAATGGAAAATTTTAAGATGATATATGTCCTTTGATTCATAAAAATGCTAAAAAATGCTTAATATGATTTTCTAAATATTTTTCTTCGATACCCCTTCACTTGTGCTTTTTGCAGTTTCAATTTGACACTCAAATTTACAATTTTTACATAAAAACCACATATTTTTTAAAAAAAAGTATTGATACAAGTTGTCTGGATTTCTGCAGCAAAAAATCTCAGTTTTTCTCAGAGTTCATGTCCTGGAAACGATCATAATTAAGCAGTAACACAGCAGTACCTTGGATATTTGCAGAGGTGACATGTGCAATACTATAACATTATTATTCTTACTATTATTATTATTGTGTTGATGATGGAGATTTATACAGCCTGAATGAACTAGAAGATTGTTAAGAGGAAGTAACACTTGAGCGAACATTTATTTTTTATCTTGTTTTTAAAAGTGGGTGAAGTATTTCTGCCACCTATAAGCTAACTCACTGGTATGCAGTGAGTTGGCACTCACTGGCTGAAAATTCTCAATAATCATGCAAAAATGGCAGAGAGAAAGATTCTGCCACCTGTGTTTGGCATAAGTAGACTACAAGATCCACATAAAACAAGGTGTGGCCTCCAACCTGGTGTAATAGCAAAGCATGTAATAGGAATCCAAACACTAGACCGGTGTGTCTATTACATGCGTTGCCATTATATCGGGTTTTGTCCTCTCAGACTGAGTGTGCTGAGGTAGAATCTGTTCATTTTACATTCAGATCCAATAAGTACATCTGTCAGCAAATAAAGTTGAAGCCCAACTGTGCAGCTTTTACTACCTTTTAATGTGCTTCAGTATATCCATTTTTTCAACCTTAAACTGCTTTAAACAGATAACTAAAAACAAAGCAAGTAAAAGCAACTTTTCTTGGTGCTGCTCCTCTGAGTATATACTTATTACTTATTACTGATTTAGTCTTTCTTAAAAGTATCTTTTTCATCTCAGACTGAGTCCTCTTCCCTACTCCATGCACAGCTTCAAACACAGTCCTGGTCCAAATTTTATTACAGCCAACTCATCTCTAGCTTCACATCCTAAACCACATCCTTTATGTCCTCTTCATCACCGGCACTTTGGATCTTTCCTGCATTCTGACCTTTTCTCAGCTGTCTGGTGATTTTGACATGGCAATGCCACTGTCTCCCCCAGTGAGAGCTTGTCTTTGAACAGAGTCCACCAAGTTTCTGCGGTGACAGAGGCCAGACGTGGCAAAGAGTCCACAGGGATGCCACTGACGTCTCTCAACAAGAACTGGGACTCTTTCTTTCCCCCCCCCCATGCGAATTGGAAGCTGTTCAGTGTTTCCATTATTCTTATCGGTGGCATGAAGCCTGAAGACGTTACACACAATTATAAATGTAATGACTGAAAGGTGTGACTAAAAGGGCTGGGTGAGTGGGTTAGAAAAAAGACATTAACTGATCCTAAAATATTTCTTAGATTAAAATATTCAGATGCGTTTTTGCAGTGGTGATATCAGTGATGGATATTTAATACTGCGTAATGATTTTGACCAAACACAATATATGTATGAAACAAGCAAAGAAAACAAATGTGGCAGTTTTACTGCCCTTCAGGTACGTCCCAGCTCAGAGTTGGTACGTGGATATGTGTGTGTGTGTGTGTGTGTGTGTGTGTGTGTGTGTGTGTGTGTGTGTGTGTGTGTGTGTATAGATGTTTTTAAAGTGGTGGAAATATTCTGACAAAACTTGCAGATCAGAGACACCACACAATGAAGGTCTGTTCAGTGTCACATAGCAACACTAAAGAGTTGTTATGGTGCCTGCAGAGAGATGGAAATACTGCCTGTCTTTACCTCCCGTGCTTTTCTCCAGCACATTATTCTACATAGGTGTTGCCTCCCTACAGACTTATTCATACACCAAGGCCACTTTCAGACTTTGACATAAACATTAGGCAGCAATTTCCAAGTGTCAACTTGTTATTAGAGAAAACAGAAAGAGAGACGCCTGGGTTTATAACAAAGTGCCTCTAAATGATTCTGTTATACAGACTAAGTGCTAATATCATTCTTCTGTGTCCACACAGATGGCAGACATGGAGTCACGTATAACTGTGGCACAGTTATACGTGAGAAGACATGATGGCGTGAGTAACGTGTTGTGCCGTTTCTCACACCTGTAGGATTTACAGTTTAATTCTTCAAGTACTGGTGTAAAACAATCCGACTACCTCAGTGATGACAGGCAATCATTTGCAGCAGGAACAACAACTATGCTTTTCATTTCCATGCCAGGCAGATGCCACCCGTGTGTCATTTGGTTCACACTCCGCTCACAGATATTTGTTTCAAAGTCTGTTAAGAAAAATTAGACTTTCTATAATAATATTAATATTATAAATTGGAATTGGTATTTTCCTTTGCAATTGTATTTTCTACACTGCATATGCAGAAGTTTATGGTCATTCAAGCGGCTTTGGGAGAGTGTACTTTGACACAGAAAGGTTTGAGTTGCAGTCTTAAAACAATTAGTGTTGGTGGGAACACTCGGTAAAAGACACCAACACTATAGTCAACCATGCATTTATCTCCAAAGCCCCTCTGCATTGAGCAAAAACATGTTGATATTTAGCCGCTGCCTTTGCATGGGCACTCAAAGTCATGAATGTCACAACTTCATCACAAACCAAATTTTAAAATGTAAGCTGGTTATGGAGCTAGACACAAACTTCATCTTGTATATTTTATGAGATGGAAACAGTCTCTGAATCTAGGTAATGAAAGCCACGCACAAGTGCTTTCATCTTGCATTCTTTCTCATGGCCAGCAGGGGGTGACTTCTTTGACCATAAAAAGTGAGACTGCATATAAGCTTATGAGAGAATAACTGTAATGCTCACTTAATATATGTCCAAAGTAACTACTTTCCAGATAACTTAATGGTCTCAATTACTGGTTTGAAGTCTTAATTAATACAGCATGATGTTAATTTTGTGAATTATGTTTCCATTTATAAAAAAGTAGATGATAAATCAGGGTGTGTTTTAGGGTGTGGCTAAAGTGATTCACAATATTCTACTGTTTGATCTCTTCTTTTCTTGATCAGATCCATCTCTGATTTGATAACCCTATTTTCAAAATAGTAAAACATCCATCCATCCATCTATCCATCCAACCATCCATCCATCCATCCATCCATCCATCCATCCATCCATCCATCCATCCATCCATCCATCCAACCATAAATCCATCCTCTTCCACTCCAGGATCATGGGAGGATGGACTCTATCTGTGGTGTCACAGTGAGAGTGAGAGTAGGGTGCACTCAAGATAGCAGCGAATCAGCAATAATCAAAATCTTTCACACAGTTTGTCATTGAGTTATTTAGTAAAACACCACAAACAGTTACCTCAGGACAGCGATAAAAGAGATTTATTTCTCTAAAGCTGTGTCATTAACTATAACAAAAGCTTATCCAAACACATTTGTTGAAATTTCTCTCAGGATTTCTCAGGTGTTACAGAATGAGGATTATATTCTATCAACCTGGCTCCTATAGTTGGATAATTAATCTTCATTGAGCATTACGTAAAATGAGACGTCAGCCTTTGGAGACAAGGAGTTACAAATGTCTGCTTTAACAACCCTGTTTGTTCAGCATCTGCTGCCAAGCTCATATGTGGCTCGTCACACACCACTGGGCTCTCAGCATGAGCTGCTGCTCAGGCACTTCTAAAAATAAGCAGGCAGAAGTAGTCTACCTTGTACGCCCATCTGTCATGGAAGTATTTGAATTAGTATCTGTCTGTTGAGTGTGAATCCTCTTCCTTTAAATACTTCCAGATGTCCATCTTCTTGACATTTTACACAAGCGAAACACAGTAAATTCATCAGGGGTGGGACAAAAAAAGAAAGGACTCGTGGTCATCATATGAGTGTAACTTGTAGGTTTTGCTTAGTCAACCCACACCTGGCGCACATTAAGGTGTGGGCTAGTGCAGGTCATACAAGTGGCAATCATTGGACTCTCATTAAAGTTACAACAGCTGCACAAATCCCTGTAGACAAATATGTAAAGAAAAAGGCAGGCTGCCACTAAACTGCAGTGGGTCTAAATGACCTTACATCTTGAGTTTACCTTCAGACCTATTGACTGATTGATTAGAAAAATCAAATAATAAAAACGTAATAATAATAATTAATAATGTAAGATGATCAGTTTTTGTCAGTAATAGAGAAGCAGTTAGGAAGCGATGTGAGGACAAATAGTGCTCTTAAATATAATTAATATAGAAGTCTGCATCATCAGTTTCAATACAAAACAATTGGAAAGAATTACACAGATGACCACAACAAGTCAGAGCTGATCGA